TCTCTAAAGATGATGTCTGTTTTCAATTGAAAAGCGCAATTGTGACAACATTGTCCAGTGGGGTCTAGGAGTCTCCCCTGGTTCAAAACCATCTTTAGAGAATCTTCTTCCCTAGCACGCCATTTCTCGAGCCGCTCTTTCATTTGAGCCCAAAAAAACTTTTTTTTTTGTTTTCATCTGGGCTAAAATGTCCAAATAATTAATAATTATCTGGTCATAAGTAATAATTAATTGAGTAATCTTTAAATACTAAGAAATGCATTACATTTAACTACTAACGAATTGCAAATGACTTACCATCGTCATTTGTTCATAAATAATCTGCTGACAACCTATTACTTCAGTTCAATTCAGTTAGTAATTCCGCTTGAAATGAGAATAATCCCGCCATCTCTTAACATGCCGCTATACTAGCGAATTTGACTAGTAATACATTTCCTGAAGTCATCTCCACTACCGAGCCCTGTTTAACCACCTCATCAGAATCTGCCTGTCCATCCGGGAATGTATTCACAAATTTCTGTGCCCAGCTGTTCCACCGCTTCCCCTATTGTTGTCATTTTCCCTAGAACATGCCCCCCGCCCCCATAATTCCCGCTCGTTTTTATCATTTCCTTTTGTTTGTAAACAATGTCTGATAGTGGTGAGCCCTTACGTCGTTCAACGAGGATCAGAAGTAAAGTCAGTTTGAGTGATAATGAAGAAACATCGACTCCTTCAAAAACTCCGAGAGGTAAAGTTTGTTTTTCATTTTGGAGCAGCCAACTGATACTTAACCTCTTGTTGCGTGTGCTCCGAATCACTTTTACATGCTTTTTCTCAAGTTTAATAATTAATCTGTTGACTTATTTCATTTGTTAACATTGATGATGTGTTTTTGATGGAATAGGGACTCGCACACCTTACACAAGACCCAGAACACGTAGAAACAGTGGATCCAGTGTCAGTCAACCTGCAACTCCAGCTAAAACACCTGGTAGTAATAATCATCAATAATATTCGAATTATATTATCTCGAGGATAATTTGCCTAGCTTTATCACAAAATATCAACAAAAATTCTCTGATGATGGGAGTAGAACAGAAGATTCAACATCTACTCTTTAAATGATTAATTCTATTAAATTTGAATGCACATTAAGGTACAGCAAAAAGAGAAAGACCGAGGAAAACCAGTGTTTCGTGCGTTGATCGCGAACCGTCGCCAAGTGGAATAAAAGAGGAACTCGAGAAGGAGCTCGAGACGATCGACGAAGACGTCCAAAAGCCGAAAGAACTCTTCGACGATGAGGACGTCAGTGGTAACAAGATGTACGGGTTCCAAACTCCCTCCAGGAGGAACGCGATGGCCCAGAAAGCACTGCAATCCCGTACCCCCGTACGATCTGCGACCCCAAAATCCCGGGCAGTTCGAATACTGCTGGATAAAATTGATCCTACGACACCACCTAAATCAATCCTGTCTAACAAGTCCACAAGAGTTCCACAGACCAAGAAGAGACAGGTTTATTTCCCCAGTGACAGTGAGAGTGTCTCAGAGGACAGCGAATACGTCCCCTCGAATAATGAAGATGATGACGATGAGGAGGAGGAAGAGGGGGCGAATGGAACTCGTGAGGATTCTCAGGACGATAACGAAGACAGTGAGAATGAAACTCCGAGGAGAAATCTGAAAGATTTCAAGAGGAAAATTCCAGTGCCCATCACTCCTTGCAGGAGGGGAAGATCAAAGAATAATATAACGTATCAAGATTTTGTAAGTACTTTGAATGAATAATTGAGAAATTAATTGATGTGAACTTTCTGAAAGTTTTAGGCCCAGAGAATAATATCAAGATTTTTTTTCACCTCAATACTTCAGAAAAATGCTCTTGTCACAAAATTGTTTTCTTTCTCAGCACTTGAAGACTGATGAATACTTCTCGACCCAAGCGGAGAAGGTCCTCACATCTGACCGCACGTTGAACCGCCTGAAAACTCCTCGTCTCAACGAAGAAAAGCTCCAAGAGCTCCTCAGCAACGAAAGCCACATATCAAAGTCCCACAAAGATGGAATTCAGGAGTTGACAAACAGCTGCAGGTCAATGTTCCCCATGTGGTACCACGTGATGGAGGAGGGCTACAGCATCCTGCTGCATGGTCTAGGCTCAAAGCGAACCTTGATAAACGACTTCCACAAGGAGATAATCGCAGACCACCCCACTCTAGTGGTCAATGGGTTCTTCCCCAGTTTAACCATCAAAGATGTTCTCGATGGGATAATAACGGAGCTGTTGGGCCTGGATTGTCCCTCCAATGCCAACGAGTGCTTCAGCATCATCGAGGAGACCCTGAGGAAAAACCCAGAGGATAAACTGTACTTGTTGATTCACAACATTGATGGGACAATGCTGAGGAACAACAAAGCACAAGACACTCTGTCTCGTCTTGCTGCGATAAAAAATGTAAGACTGTTGGCTTCTGTGGATCACATCAATGCCCCCTTGATCTGGGATAACGTCAAGAGGTCCAGGTACAATTTCTACTGGTGGGATGCCACAACTCTTCTTCCTTACGAGGCTGAAACTTCGTACGAGAGCTCACTTATGGTTCAGCAGAGTGGAGCACTCGCTCTGTCTTCGCTCCATAATGTATTCGCCTCATTAACTACCAATGCCAAAGCCATTTACATTATTCTGGTCAAGCACCAGATCGAAAATGGCAAGAGCAATCTCTATCCAGGGATGGCGTTCAAGGACCTGTACAGGGGTGCCAGGGAGAGCTTCCTCGTCAGTTCTGATTTGGCTCTGAGAGCTCAGTTGACTGAGTTCATTGATCACAAACTCGTGAAAACCAGGAGAAATGTCGATGGGGCTGAGTATCTGGCTATTCCACTGAATAACTCACTTTTGAAGAAGTTTTTGGAGGAACATGGAGATGAGTGATGAAAACGAAAATGAGTAATTGCTGTTGATAAAAATTGTGAGCATGATGTTTTTAAAGATTTCTCAGGGTAACACTTGCCAATAATTTATCGATTCTTGTATTTTTGATAGTTATGTAAATTATTTGGAATTATATTTTTGTACCTATTCTATATTTCGATTCTTTAATTCCAACTCATCCTGAATTTTTTATTGCACTGATGATCCCATCAACGTAATTGTAAACTCCATTTCGATACGATTTTTTGAGGAATTTCCACGGGTAGAGCATTGCAAAAACTTGCAAATTCATTTTTTATGATTACATAAATTATTTTGAGTGGAATTGTTTTTTATATGCAGGTATTTGACATTTTTGACATTTCAAATTATCAAAAAATTCCCCCTTAAAGATATTTTTCAACCATTACCACCAACATAATGATAAACTCCATTATCTCATTGTCGAAACCCATTACATCTCTCCACAAAAATTCAAATAAACTAACCTCAACAGTTGGCACTCCCCACCAAACAAATTCCCAAGATGGCGCCCGAGTCGTTGGCATCGAGTTTCGGGCAAGTGTATCTCGGCACAACGATGACCGGGTCCTCGTATTGTGCTTGAACAAAAAAGAAAAACAAATCCCCCGCTATCAGAACGATAGAGGAACATTGAAATGTCGGGGATAATAAGTGTTGTGAGGTGTGGTGAGTTTATTAAATTTCAGGGGTGAGCCGAGAAAGACGGAAGCTGCTTGTGACCGTCCCATCCGGTAAGAATTTCCGCCGCAACTCGACCTCTGTCTCTCATCCCTCAAGGTTGTCATTTCATTCGTTTTTCCTCTCCCCCTCTGTTTCATTATTTTTTTTCCTCGCTGTTAACTTGCCACGACCGACGGTTGAACGGCCTTGACTTTAGTACAAATAAAACGTCTGGCAAATCGCTTTACTGTCTCCGTATTAAATCGTGAGAAATGAGCCAATCCAATACGAATTTTAGTGCGGCCCAGGCGACACATACCGGGACTGAACTAACCTCTCTTGTTGTCCAAAAAAAAATCGGAGAATTTTTCTCCATCTCTCTTTTCAATTTAATAAACAAAAAATAACCTTAAAAAAATTTGCACTCATTAGAATACATTGAAGGGACAACGCGACCTAGGTAATTCCATACTCGTTGAATTATTATCGATTTATAATTATAAACGGTGACAGGACCGTTCGAACTCGACACGAAGTCTTTATTTATATTTTTGTTCGTGTGTTTATCTTTCCTCCTTTACGAAAGATATGCATATACTTTCCTAGAATTGAAGGAAACTTAAACTCTGAATAATATCAAATCGATTTCAACAGCTGTGAGAATTTACTTTATCATCAAACATTCGTTTCCTTAATCTGTAATTTAATTGTTGTTGAGGGAAGAGACACACGCGACGTTGATATTTTGCCAACAATTCTTTATTCTCGGCACAGTATTGTTGTCACCGAGTCGCTGGTGTTCAATACACAGTAAAGGTGTATCATATTCGTTAAATTTCCCCGCATGCCCCTGCCAGTCGTTCATTCCACTCTAACAACGCGGTAACATGTATTGGTTTTAACGATGCACGTGGCTCTCCGGGTGAATTATCCCCCGCATAATTTTTCCATACTTTTTGCCATTTCGTTCATCTACGTATTTCACTCCTCTCCGAGGGGCCATTACAGTTTCAAGAAGGAACAGAGTTACGTTGCACGTGTACGTTATCTTGAGAACTCGACAACGCCTTCGATGTCGACTGCTAAATAAGGACGTTACGGAAATAGAATTAATGTCTTAATTAATCTTGCATTGACATTTGTGTTTGAATGATGTTTTTTTTTCGTTGCAGGTTTCCTTCTGCGTCATCGGGTCTACACCAAAATCTGGCGTCTATGTTCCGGTGAGTGAGAGACCTTAATTCGCAATAATTCTTTATTTAAATGGGATAATGTCATGAGTCGACGACTCGTATCATCCTAGGAATTATGGAATTATCTTGAGAATTGATGATTTAGAAGAGGGATTAAGAGACACTTTTTCGGAGAATTTTTTCAGTTACAAAAAGATTCTTTTGATATTTCTTCCTGCAAAATACATCAAGGAGATGATGATATTTTTTGAGTGATGAATTATGCAAATTATCTCCATGGGAACTAATTTTAGGAGAAAATTTCAAAAGTTCCTTCTTATTGCTAATGAAATTCCCTGCGAAAAAGGATTTCTAACATTTCGTGTCTGAACTACTTGTTTCGAAGATAATTGCATATTAAATGACGATGTCACTCGACTCGTCATGTTTTTCCATTAAAAATTCAATATTTGAATTGGAGGATTTATCTGTGGAATGAAGGCGAAGAATTTTGATGCTGGACGCCTTTCCAACAATGTATCCCCTAATTCATGTCAATTTATGAGCCGACGGGAATTTTTAAGTCGTTCTGCTCTAACAAAACATGGAAATATTGATTTCCATTTTGAAAAACGTAACACGGAAGTATTGCTAGCACAAAGGCATCAATCCGTGGTTGTTATGCATAATGCAGAGCGTCCTTCTTCCTCTTCGGAGTTGACCGAGAGAGGTGAGTTAACCGTGTATCGTTTGTCTCTGCGGGCTTTACATAATAAACGAGCTCGTGAGGCACATTTTTTGTTTCTTTTCCTCCTTAATGAATTTTTCAAAAGATACGGTTGCCAGAGAGACCTCGACATTTAACCTCAGAACCATGCAGTTTCAAATTATTGGATTTATCAAAAGAGATAACATTTTTTATTTTTCTCATTCAAAATGCTAAATCCCTTGAAATTTACATTTTACAGTCAGCTATTATGATCTAAACCTTTGAATTGAGCGAGAAGAACAGTTTTTAATTCTGCACATGAGAACTTGTAATCGATTTTGATCGTTAAAAATCCATTATTGATCATAAAATGATGGTAAAAAATCCCTTCTTCATAAAGAGCAATGTCGTAAAATCAGTGTCAATAATTTTCCTGGAAATCCTCAGCTTGGAATAAATCCCCGCGTGCCTCCATCATTTTCATCGAGAGTAGAGTGACGCGGGATAATCACTTTAGCTCTCTCTATGAATTTTTAAAAAGACGAATGGGTAGTTGGAATGTTTGAGAATGGAGCGTCTGCGTCAGTGTTACCGAGGTCACTCCAAACTAAACAAAAACGTTATAACAAGAATTGCGCAACTGAACTTGAACTTAATTACGAGAGCTTGTGGAATCCTATATTCTCGCTAACTCGAAGTAATCAATTGTTTATGGGTGTCGGGAGAATTTTTACGTGATAAGGCAACCCGCCAGTTTGTTTTCAGGAAATGTAGAAATATTCATCGATTTATTGATTTTTACGTGACATTGAAACCAAAATAAATTCATTTTATTATTCATAAAATCAATGTTTTCCCTCAAAATTGAGGCTTTTTCTTTTTCATTCTGGTTTAAATTGAAAAAAATTAATGTCGTGATTTGTTTGCATTTTTTTGCATTTTTGAGTCGAATAGAAATATGAAGTAATTGATTTTAATTACTAAAATCTTTATTCTTTGATTAAATCGTCGACTTTGTTCGATAAATTTATTTATCACGTCTTGAAAAATAAAATGTATATTTGTTTTGCCTGCAAATTACGGAATTATCGAAGTAAACACTCGGGTCATTGAAGTCATCATTTGTCTTCTCCATGAGAACACTACCTTATCCACTTCAGTCGGTAAATAGCTCTTCATCAAACACCAGTAGACGCCTCTCTGATTAATTGATTCTCCGGATAAATTTATTACCTCATTAATAACCAATTCATTATCCCCATTCTCTCCTGAATATTTGATATGTTGGTTGAATTGATGTTAAAGGTTCAAAAACAATTTTCCAAGTGAAAAATGAGTTGATTTGGATCGGAATAAGTCAACTCTTGTTGGACAAGTGAAAGTCCTGAGCGAATCGCTTTCAGAGCCTGGCGAATCGACACTCAGTAACCCCTCCAGACACTGTGGGCGACTGAAGTAGGGGAGAGATCTCGTTTTCTCTCAGGGAATCAGAGATAATGTTCCATGAGATAATGATGAACTGGGGAGGGAAGTGCCAGAATGGGAGAAATCTCGAAAATGTTTTCACGTTCCTTTTTTCCTTTGAGTTGTGTTCAGTATTTTTCATGAGCATTGAACATCCAATTCAAATTTATTTAACGAGAAAATTCTTCTTCTGCATTTGTGTATTATCTTGACATGTTTTAATGAAAAATTAATTGATTTCATTGATTTGGAATTCAAGATAAATATGTGGAGACTTTTCTTTCTAGCCCACGAAATTCCTCACAAAAAATTTCTCTGAACTTTTTCCATTTGAAATTATTGACGAAATAATGACTGTGACATTCTCTGACTCATCTCCTTTCACCACTTACTGATACCACTGGAAAATATTTCTGAAGAACAACCTAGTCGATTTTACTCAATCCCAAGGTGTTCATTGAATTCCTAGATTCACCCGGGATCCTACAAATGTGAGAAAGGCCTCGTGAGAGGATGTGTTGCCTCATGCCGAGAATTGGTTAGTGAAATCGTTATGACAAAAGTGAAATTCGCCGGACTTTAAGGGAATTCTTTCTCTCTCCTCTCGTCCATCATCTTACGTGGATTTCGTTTCTCAAAAGTGAGACCTCAAAATTTAACGTTAGGAGATATCCAAAAGTGAAAAAAAGAAGGAAAAAATGTGCGAGAAGTTGGTCCGATCGAGGTCCCCGGATGTCTTCGGTCACGGAGAAGCGTATTGTATATCTGGGTCCTTTAAAATGTGTTACAAGAACGTTTGCCCCGGTCGCTTGGGCGACGCGCGGGCGCACCAGTCAGCGCCTCGAAAGTAAGACAAGGATTCGAGAGAGCGGATAGCTCATTCATTCCAGTTTGCTTCAACACGATACATGATGTATTCCGAATGAATCATTACAACGTCATTCCAATTGACTAAATACATTGTCTACTTCCCATTTGAACTATTTGACACAGAAAAGAAGGCAATTAATCTGGGAAGATTTTTATTTTTTTCAACTCAAAAATTACTCTCGCGATCAATCAATAAAACCCCGTGTTTAATCTAGGAATGCAAATCCCCTGATCGA